CAGTTTGTGATTACTATTAATAATAATAATAATAATAATATTTAAGCATATAAAGATTGATACAAGGAGAGCTGGGATATTGTCCGGTTGCCCAAACCGAAACAAGTGATTTTCTAAGGGAGTCACACCTTTAGCCTTTGACCTACAGACCTAATCCGCAAAGCAGTGGAGCAACGTCAGCAGATGCTGTTCCATAGTAGCCGGTGATCAATAATTGCTTCGTACGCTATTTGTTACTTCAGTATACTGGAGCTTATGTACACTATTGGTTTGGAATCAGGGTTTTTCAATTCCTCTAGGTGGATCCTCCATATCTACCAACTCAGTTAAATCGCCGGACATCCACTTCTCGTCATCTCAATTTCGTAAACAACACCCCAGCTAAGAAAAGAGCAGTGACTAGACTTCATGATTATAAAACCGTACACTAACCAAATACTTAAGACTCTCAGAAGTTAGTTTCAAAAAGATTTATTTTAGTAAAAGCTTGTAAAATAATATCTTCTTATTTAAATGTTATAAATTATTGTAGATTATTCTAAATATTTTATTTCCATTGGTTGTTTGAGTCTTCCCATTGATGTGTTATGACTGCAATTGATCAATCTCTTTCTGGTGTATGTTCTTCTTGTGCGAATCGCCTTGATATTCCCATTAGACTACAAACATTATAATCAGAGATGGAGTAAATACCAACCCTAGGATACAAATACATCCAGCTGACGAGTCCCAAATGAGACTAAACATGCATCTTGGATTCCACTACTAGTCATCAACTATCTTAGCTTAAATATTTTGGTTTATCACTGAATCCCAATATATTATTTGAACTGATAAACTACCCGAATAAGTAAAGTGACTGAAACACATCAGAATTCCGAGTTATTTTCTTATTCTCATATATCTAAAATATCACTGTTCATCTTGAAGATTATGAAGATGAATGATAATTTAAAAGTTTCAAATGAAACAAATTAAAGAGTAAATTTTCCAGTTTCCATTGTTCATCATCAATACAAAATCTTATTAACTCTAAAAAAAAATCAATAAAAGAGTAACTTATCAATCTCCTGGTATAATCTTTTAAACTACATGTTTCTAATGTATACATGATTTATTTTTAGTTTGTTTTGTAGTTATTATCAATATTCAAATGAATATGATGGAGACGAAACTCTTTAAAACCAAAAACAAAACAAGTCCAATGAAGGAAAAGTAAGTTTCAAACTTAAGCGTAAGTGTTTCGGAAGAGTTTTTGGCATTAACTGGCAGATAACAATCATACCGGAAATTTCAAACATTATTCGATCCTTTACTGTAGTTGTTATGAGTTATTCAGTGAGTTATTGAACAATTATAGACTTATGATACGAGAAATAAGTCTTAAAACAAATCAAAGAATAATATGCTTGAAATCAGTATATGTTCAACTACTTATTTATCATTCTTTAATAGAGAAACATGAAAATTAAAGTATAAAATTTTAAACAATTAAAAGGATAAGAAAAAGAAACGATTCAATCATTTAATAAGTAGTGTATAATTTTCATTTCTCAAAAATGAAATCCATTTCAAATACAAAGTGAACCACTTAAACAAAACCTATGAAGAACAGACAAGTATTATCATTATGGAAATGACAAATGCGTATGTGTGTGTGTGTGTGATTTAGTAAACATATTTTTCGCCTAAAATCAAAAATATAAATATTATTACTCTTTTTATCATTCAGTTATTCTGTTCTAACTGTTCTTTATAATCCATGATAATATTTTCATAATTTATGAAGAATTCAGTTAACTATGTAATATATATCAATTTCGTGGATTGGTTGATGTTAGACATTAACATTGTTGGATGCTGGCCGGCTCAGTGGTCTAGAGGTTAAGTGCTTGCGCGCAAGACTGATAGGTCCCGGGTTCGAACCTCGCGAGGCGGGATCGTCAATTCATGATCTCAAACATTGAACTATCAATTACTGTTGAAAATGATTTTGAATTTACACTTTCAATTTTAAATTATTAGACTTTTTATTACTTATCAATACCAACAGCTGATGGTTTAATCAAGTGAATACAATTTTATTGAAACACAGTGTTAGAGGTTTATTAATCTATTTGCTTCAAAACCAGAAATAATCAAAAATGTTAACTTCACGTAAATATCTACACAATCAGAAATCAAACCTGTGATTATAAGTTAAACTACATCAATTCATTTCATTAAAATGCAGATAAAAATGTACTCCAGGAAATATCATTCAATATTCTAAAGTTTTTCATTGATAAGTTAGTTGATTATTTCAAGGAACTGATTACTTTATTCATACATTTTAATTATCAGTATGAGGTTGTATAGATTATTAAGTTTTTGATTGAGATCATGAACCGATTAATGTTAGAACACCATCGCAAACCTGAAAGCACTGGACGGCCTTTTCGTTCTATTGTGGGACTCCTCAGCCATTCAATACTTCCAGGTTTTCAATGGTGATCTGACATTAATTGACCTCAATCAAAATCATTTTAATTAATCGCTTTTACAATCAGTTTATTAGGTAGCAAAACAAAATAATAACATTCTACTTAGTGGTAACTATTTATTAAAAAAAAACTGGTTCTCAGAATGTTCCTATAATGTCCATATGTAATATACTGTTTAAAGAAAGCAATTTTCAGTAATGATGTTACATCATACCTCGATATTGACAAGACCATTTATTTATATATTTCAGTTGTTCATTGAAGAAATGTTTCTTCAAATAACCATTATTCGTAACTAATCAAAAGTCATCAAAATATGTAGGGTTCATTTAAATGCGAACATTCTAATATACACTTTTTGATTTCAATGTAATATCTGTCTTGTTGGTTGAAAGTTCAAATCTACTATCTATTGAATACAGTTTGTATTAGTGATGTGTTTAGAATGGTATAGATAAAAGTTTAAAAAAATTCATCAACGACTGATAACCAGTTTACAGGCCTCAGTTCCTGTTAAGATTGATAGAAGTATTAGGCAAAATATTCGTTAGGAATGACTAGACGATCTTATTGAGCGCATTCCTTAAGTCAATTTATATTCAACAGTATTGATAAAATTTTACTTTACGATTTAAAAAACGTGAATTTCCCTGATTTTTACTACCTCAAGTCAACTTCTTAACTATGATTTACTAAAAATTATTTATACATCAGCATATTTAAATTGTTTGGTTCAAATTGTCAGTGTGATTACTGAGACTAGGTGAAATTGGTTGGAGTCAGTCACAATAGATTAATCCATTCACTCATTCTCTTCCTTTAATTCATCAGTTCCAGTATTCCTTCAAACATTCCCTTTTATTCTGTCTTCTCAAACCAAACTCTGTATGATTAATCTTTCGCCCTATCGTTTCTATTACAAAAATTATTATAATTGATTCGACTTCTTTGTTATTCGTATTGTTAATATCACCTCGTTGTGGTGACATGATATGATAAGTTGAACCGAAAGACATTTGAACAAGGCTCTATATTGATCATAACTGACAACTTTTGCTTTTTTTCGAACGACTAATTCGTCGTTTATCTAAAAGTAATTTCTGTCTATTTAGATTAGATGGCATATGATTAGCATTCGGATCTAGAATGCGAGTTTCATCGTGTTATCCACCCACTTCATAAGTGAATGGTTATCTGGACTCAGTAACTAGGTGGGTAATGAGTCGACGTTTGAGGCGAACGATACTGGGTACGAGTCCAAAAGTGAACATCAATTCGGATGCAGTACAGTCAGCTGATGCTTCCATAATAGGATGAAATGTATATTCTTGGTATTTTTACTAACCACATTCCATCTATTCTGCATTAACTTGTGTCATAATGGCCATTTCAAGGTCATGTTCAGAGAATGCACATATGCTAATCAAGACTGATCAAACTTCAGTCAAAACATTAACCATGGGATAATCCAAATTATTTCGAATTGAATTCAATTCCTGTCTATCTCGACAAGATACTAATAACGGATTCACTTTAGTAATAACTGAATTGGATTTATTTCTTTACATAGAAATAAACAACATAACTCACTTTAATCGAAAGATCTTTTTTTTATATACTCTGGAAAAGAAATCAAGTAGGAAAATATGTGCACATTATCTAATCGATTTTAATAAACGTGCTTTCCCAGATTATAAAATAATTTACTAGATATTAGAGTAAATTTTAGATTTAGTAACGATGGAGATAAAAACAGAAGAATTGATTAAGATTGATCAAATTAATTTTTAAAGAAAAAAAACATATTGGATGGATGGGAGTAATGAACAAGAAACTGGTATCTATCAGCAAAGGTTAACCACAAAATGTTAAAAAAACAAATATTATTACTTCTTACCAATAACTAGTCCTAGATTTAAAAGCTTGAATCTATGAACAACATGATTCTCATTGACTTCACATTTAGTCCCATAGAATATTATTCATGTGTTTTTATTCAATATTTAATACAGTATAATTTTAACAACGAGAAATAAAAAAGATTTTATAAATATTTCATTGCTTGAGATCATGAGTCAATTGAAGCTAGATCACCATAGAAAACCTGGAAGCACTGAACGGCCATTTCGCCGTAGTATGAAACTCCTCAGCAGGTCCATCCACGATCCCGCCTCACGAGATTCGAACCCAGGAACTATCAGTCTCCCTAGGCATCATCGTGGATGTGCACTGCTGAGGAGTCCCACAATAGGACGAAACAGCAGTCCAATGCTTTCAGGTTTTCCATAGTGGTCTAGATTCAATTGACTTATGATCACAACCATTCAAGTTACTATAATATCCACAAAACCCTTCTGATATGAATTTTATAAATAGTTAAAACAATCTTATACACTAATGTTATATCAATGACAACACTTTTGAAAAGAGCAAGAACAATGATGATAAAGGGAATTATATGTATGAGACAACACATTTAATGATTTTTAAAGAAAAGAGAAAAAAAAAAGAGCTTACCAAAACCAATTTGTACAAATCCAGTAATAATGATCATAATTAAAGCGGCTACTTTTGCATAAGTAAATATATCTTGAACAAATGTAGACATTCGTACAGAGAAGGCATTGATAAAACTTAATAAAACTAAAATAAAAATATATAGAAAGATAATAATTTAATTAATGGAATATACATGACCCATGTATAATATTACTGTAACAATGATTAATTTAAACGATAGAAAATAAAAAAACATGTTTTTTTTGGTTAGTCACTATCCATCTTTGCTTAAAAAGCTTGCGATTTGAGGCTATATTGAGGCAATCCGCACAGGATGCACATACGCCAACATGAGACTGATCACTTGCAGTTCTAAATAACAGTGGGAAGGTACAAGTTAAACAACATCAAGTGAATTTAAACTTCACTCCATTGTATAAGCAAGTGGCTATCAGCACTCAATAGTTAAGTAGAAAACGCGATGGCGTTTGAAGCAGACAGTATTGGGTTCGAGTCTTGGAGTGAGCATCAACTCTGGGATGCAGGTACACCCAGTTGACCACTCCCAAATAGGATGAAAAGCGTGTCCTCGATTCCATTGCCAGCCACTACCCATCTTTGCCTACTGTATTAAATATATTTTAGTTGTAAAACAAAAGAAAAAATACATGAAAATGTGCAAGTAAAATACGTGAAACAAAAAAATTCTTGTTATTATTTGTGAAAATTATATTTGAAATACTTTCAGCGATTGAAATCTAAGAATAATTCCAACGTTTCGTCCAACTAACTTGTCTGAACTTCTCCAGGGTAATAATCAAAATCAAGATCATCAAAGAATATATATATATATATATATATGCTCGAAATTATGTTTAGGATCCACCTTATTCATATTTCGAGGAGACCTTTACCTACAAAAAGAAGGTATAACAATGGGTCCACCAGTTTCTCCTATTGCAGCGAATTTATTCATGCATTCTCTAGAAACCAGTGCAATCACGTGAATTGTATGTCAATCGAGGGTCCGGTAACTGTAAGTTGACGACATTTTTATTACCATTAAATTGAATGGTTTAGAAGATTTGTTCGAAAATGTAAACAACATTTCGGAAAGCATTAAGCTAACGAAGGAAACAGAACTCATTGACCACACACTAGCGTTTCTTCATTGTTTGGTTGAACGAAGGCATAATAATAATAATAATAAATTGAAAAAAAATATATTCAAGAAATCAACAAATTTTGAGAGATACTTAGATTATGATTCATCTCATGTGCTCTGTACAAAGTCACTATTGTAAAAAAAATTTAATTAACAAATGTATTAAGCTTGTTATAGATAAGGAAGACCAACAAGTTGGACTGAATTGAATTTTGTCCATACTTGGGGATAACAACTACCTAAAAGAGTTTTTAAGGAAGATTATTTGAAATGAGAGAAAAATTAAACTAGAATGTATACTGAAAGATCAGAAGTCCACGGTGGTCATCCCATACCATAGTGTAACATCGGGAGAAATCAAGCGGATTCTAAACAAGCACGATGTAAGAGTGTATTTTCGGGAGCGTGACACCATAAGATTGTCATTAGTGAAAGTTAAGGATAGGTTCCCAAAGGAAGAACAAAAAAATATTGTCTATGAGATCAATTGTCATGATTGTAATACAGCTTATGTAGGAGAGCCCAGGACAGAGTGGGTTGGATAATGCTGGTCGGAAGCCTATGCTCCATTAGGATTAACAGGCGTAAGTAAGTAAGTTATGTAGGAGAAGCATCCAGACAATTGAATGTAAGGCTGAAGGAACACAAACAGTGTTTGAAAATGTTCCCGAATCCTCGGTTGACCTAATAAAACTTGTGAAGAAGTCTGCGATAGAGTTACATGAATTGGAAATAGGACTCAAGATAAATTTTTAAGGGACAAAAATGGTTCAGAAATGTTTTACCACTCATAAAGGATGATTGACAGCAGAAGCGCTGTACGTATGGGCGAATAAGAACGGCCTAAACAGAAAGGATGGTATTCAGCTAGCAACTACTAGGCAAGTATTCGTTAACAAGTAATTGGATCCATTGTTTATTCAACCTATTTATTTCACATGCATCGTTATTTTGACTGGAATTGATGTGAGTTATTTTTAGCATTTAGATGATTCTCATTTTTACTTGCACTTCAATGATCCAACCTTCAACTTGCACTTTTATTTTTCCTTCATATAAAAACATATTAACACCTAATATCATTCATTAATAACTCAATCTTACACAAACATACATACATACACAGATAAGTCGTTTCAGTCATTTATTTCCACATCGTGAACTTTTCACATGATTCCCATTCAACTGACTCATGTTGTCCTACTTGCTTAAGTCAACATCTGAATATGATTTGATCTGATTTGATTGTTAAAACGCTATATATTTCTTCCATGATTTTGGTTATTACCCTGAAGAAGTCCAAACAATTTAGCTGAACGAAACGGAATTATTTTTAAATTTCATTCGCTGAGATTATTTCAAATATAATTTTCACATACAGTGACTTCGCTATACTCGGCACCCAATTTTTGTCGAACTAGTCCGCCTGGAGCCCGCCCCTCTTGAGCTACTGCCGGTTTCAAGGTCGGATAAAAGAGGGTTGGTCATGGAGTTAGCGACCCCACCCCGTTAAGAACTAACTCTCTAAAATAACGCCAACCAGAAAAAAATAATTCAAACCATTTAAACTCTGCCCTAGAAGTTAGAAGGTCTTCAATTAGAAGAGTTATGATGCCTCATGGTGAAAGCCGAGTTCCTTAGGAAGTCACGAGGCTGACGCCCCTTATGACAACCAGAGCAACCATTATTAATCAGCAAAAAGCGCTGGAGGTGGGTAGGACACATATTCAGGAAGGTACTCAACTGCGTCACAAGACAAGCCCTCACTTGAAATCCTCAAGGCCAAAGAAGAAGAAGAAGACCAAAGTACAAATTACGCCGAGAAATGGGGGCAGATATGAAAAGAATGAACAATAATTGATTAGAACTAGAAAGAAAGGCCTAGGATAGAGTGGGTTGGAGAATGCTGGTTGGTGGTCTATGCTCCATTGAGAGTAACAGGTGTAATTATGTATTCGTTCTAATCTTGACGAGTACTCATCTAAAAAAAATTATTATGAACAATTCTGAGAAGTAAAGTAACTCTATTAGTTTAAAAACATAAAGTAGTCAACCTTCGTTAATTTACTGACTTATTTAATATGATACTTAATCTTATTATTCTAATCATGAATCAATAAAGTGTTTAACTACCCATTAAGTAATTATCCAAGTATTTTCAGTATGTTTACTATTTTCATGATAACTAGAATTAATGTTTGTAATCAGTGAACTTTATCATCTAGTCTATACTTTTTATGAATAATTTGCTCATATTTCTTGTAGTTGATTAAATTATGATTTGGATCTCCCTTATTGTTTCATGCCTGTTCCATTTCCATGAAAAAAAATAGATATTTGTATACTAATGATAATTTGAAAATTCAATCCACTTCTTTTCATTGCTTACCTACTTACTTACGCCTGTTACTCCCAATGAAGTATAGGCCGCCGACCAGCATTCTCCAACCCACTCTGTCCTCGGCCTTCTTTTCTAATTCTGTTCAATTCTTGTTCATTCTTCTCATGTCTATCTCCATTTCCCGGCGTAATGTGTTCTTTGATCTTCCTCTTTTCCTTTGGCCTTGAGGATTCCATGTGAGGGCTTGTCTTGTGACGCGATTGGGTGCTTTCCTCAAGGTGTGTTCTATCCACTTCCAGCGCTTATTCCTAGTTTCTTCCTTTGCTGGGATCTGATTTGTTCTCTCCCACAGTTGGTTGCTGCTGATAGTGTCCGGCCAACGGATCCGAAGTATTTTGCGTAGCCAACTGTTAATAAACACCTGTATTTTCTGAATGATGGCTTTAGTAGTTCTGCAAGTTTCCGCCCCATACAGTAGAACTGTCTTGACATTTGTATTGAAAATTCTGACCTTGGTGTTGGTTGACAATTGCTTTGAGTTCCAGATGTTCTTTAATTGTAAATATGCTGCTCTTGCTTCCACATCTGCATCAGACCCACCATGTTCATCAATGATGCTGCCTGAATACGTAAAGGTTTTTACATCTTCCAAATCTTCTCCGTCAATTGTGATTGAATTGCTTCTTTTCATTACCTCTTTAAATATTCTCAATAATTTGATAATGTTGAAAAATACCCTTAAATTATAGTAAATAATTAAACCTAACTGATTATAAACAATGAAGAGGATAATGAATAATTTCTAATAGAAGAAATAAAGTTCATCATTTTCAGTAAACAAACAAATTTTGATTGGTTCAGTAAAATCCAATTAAAGGAATCATTAACACTTATTGAATATGAATTAATTAGTAACTATAATGAAAGCTTAACAATTAAAAACACTGAATGATTTATTATCACTGAAAATGTATTTTGTTACGTCCTATGAGAAAAAACTAAACCAAATTGTAGTTTTAATATGAACATATTTAACATCTAATATGGACCATATGTTGTCATTCAATTATAATTCAATCTTAGATTTTTATGCTCATTGAATGTATAATGAACTTCTCAGCATCCATATTCTATTACTAAACTGACAGGCTACAGAAACTAAACATATATTTATACAAATACAGTTTTGTGCTTAAAGCTAAATAAATTAAGGAGGTAACTTACTAATACACACTGCCGCCAAAAGACGCACTGCAACTTCAGGTTGATCACAGTCAGGGAAAATTGGTTGTGCAATATATTTTGCAAATGTCATGGACATTATTGCAACAGATGCAGGTCTAGCAACAACTACTTCTGACCATAGTCGAAGAAAACCAAGAAATGGGCCAAAAGCCTCGTAAACGTATATATAATCTCCTCCAGATCGATGAATCATGGTTCCTAGTTCAGCATAACAGTATGCTCCTAACATACTGAAAAGTCCACAAGCAACCCATATAATTAGACTTGCTCCAATACTACGAACATTCTCCATAATTCCAGTTGGACTAACGAATATTCCAGACCCAATCATAGAACCAACTATGATCGTTATACTACTTGCAAGTCCAATAGTTTTCTTCAGCTGTACAACCGGTATATGATCACGTCCATTGTTCATTTTGTCAAGTTCATGAACTTCTTCCATCATAATGGCTGGATAAAAAATAAAACAGTACTATCAAAAAGAAAACATATGAAATAAAACGTCTTTTTCCATCAACATTTATTCACCCTTAAATTACGCTTAAATAAGTGAACTAAGCACTATTGTGAAATATATATTTTACGTACGCATAGATTAGATCTAAAGTCAACAACAAATAATCATGACATTAGACGTTAAACAGACTATGTCCATATCCAACGGAATTTATAGAGAAGTATCCCAAAACGAATTCACAGATTAAATACGATACTGTGGATAAAAAACATGCGTCTTATATTTGTACTTCAAAGGAGATGAAAACACTAAAGTAATTAACCACAGGATAAATGTAGCGTCGGAGGTTGCTTATCTATCAGCAAGACTGACGAAGTTATGTGAAAGGAATTGCTCACCCGAATAAACAAAAACGGTCAGGTTCTTTTTTCTCAGTACCTCCAAATGCACTTACCAATCCATATGTACACCTCAAAGCACATGACTCAACCTGTAGCTAACATAGAGCTGCTGCCGGTCCGAGCCAGGTAAAGGAAGAGGGTTGGGCATGGGGTCAGCGATGCTATCCCGTAGAAAACAAGCTTGCTAAAAAACCTAACTAGAAAAATCAATTTAAACCACTCGAAATCTGTCCCCCATCGAGTTGAAGGATCTTCATTCAGAAGAATTACCAGGCCTCACGGTGAAAGCCGGAATTATTCGGAAGTCACAAAGCCGATGCCCCTTCTTACAACCAGAGTAACAATCAGTATAGATACATGGAATGTCCGGACAATGTGAAAGACCGTGTAGACCAACCAAATCGTTGCGCAGATGAGAAGATACGAATTGATGGTGCTCGAAATAAGTGAAACCTATTAAACACAAGGTGGACAGAAAAGGATAGATTCAGGAGAAATGTCACTGTACTCTGGTCACGAAGAGGAAAATGCTCTATACACTCAGAGAGTTGCTCTGATGCTATACAAAGAAGCAAGTTAAGAACTTATAGGATGAGAATTTCATAGACCCAGAATCAAATCATCCTTCAAAATAAAGAAGGGAATCACAATGAATGTTATCCAATGTTGTGCACACATCAATGATAACAATGATGACAATAAAGATCAGTTATACTCGAGGCTGCAATCGATCACAGTGAAGTGCCCAGCAAAGGACCTGTCCACCTGATGGCAGATCTAAACGCCGAACTCGGAATGGACAACATCGGGTATGAAGATATCATGGGATGATACGGACTGAATGGGAGAAAGCAACGAGAATGGTGACAGACTTGCAAATCTTTGTGCCTTCAACAAAATGGCTATATGTGGTACAATATCCCCACACAAACGCATACACAATGTAACATGTGTCTCTTCATGTCACACCACGAAGAACCAGATCGATGGTATTTGCATCAATAAAAAAAATTGAGAAGGTCAATGGAAGACGTGAGGACTGTGATAGGTGCTGACATAGGTTTAGATCACCACTAACTGGTGGTTTCCAAGATGAAATTGAAGTTAAAGAAACACTGGACAAACAACATTACAGCCTTTTTTCGACATACTGTCAAACTCAACGGATTCAATATAATTCTCAACAACAGATTCTAAGCCTTACAATATTTACTCAAAGAAGAAGAAACTACGTTGAAGGACAATTGGAAAGGAATAAGAGAAATAATGTACATCGAAAAAAACCTGGCATGATTATTGACTACACGACAACCAGTATGCTGTAAAACTGATAGAAAAACCATGCAAATGTGCGAATTCCAAAATGTGTCTTAATGGAATGTTACTCAGTTTATAAAAAAATGAAGATATGCTTGAAGAAATTCTTTGGATGGACACTATTTAATCACCCACCAAAGAGTAGCCCATAAGTTAAGTCCTTTAATAAAAACGCATCTAAAAAATACCACCTAAAATGGAGCATCATGACGATTTAGAAGGTTAATTCCATCATTCTTTAAAAATCTACTTTATTAGTCCTAACATATACCATAATTATTTTCAGGGTTTCCTGGATTGTCAGTTAAGTCTAGGCAATGTACTTTCGCGGATACCATCAGCGACAGCCTGCTGTGAAAGAAAGCAAACTAGCTTTCAAGTAAAGAAGAAATTAGGAAAGGACGTTGGAAGTGGATAGGACATACATTGAGAAAATCGTCAAACTGCATCACGAGACAAGCGCTAACTTGGAACTCTGAGGAGAAGCGGAAAAGATGAAGGCTAAAGAATACACTCCATCGATAAATATCAGCCGGAAAGAAGTGGGATAAATTATCCATGACAGAGTTGGATGGAGAATGTTAGTGAGTGAGCGGCCTATGCTTCTTAAGGAGGGGTAATAGACGTAGAAATTTTTTAACTGGCCTCGGTCTCAACAAACTGGTATTTTAAGGATTTTATACACACCAGGAACAACATAGAAATATCTTATGACTCATCATTGAAAAAGACAGTCTCAGGTGATAGAAAATATCAAGAAATAGTAAACAAAAGGTGACGAAAAGAAAAGAAAACATGTTTGACTTAAGGAATTCTGATAGCTTAACCGGAATGGGAACTTTAAACCTGACTGTGCTAGCAAAATACATATTGCTCCTTAAATAAGTGATATAAAGAAAAGTTTAAAACAGGGTCCAATGCAATGAAAATGATTGGTAGATGAGATGCCTCATATGAATTATATTAAACATATTAAAAATTTTAGTGCGATAACATTCAAAAACGCTTTTAAGAATCTGAGAAAAGCAAAGAGCAGTTGTGCCGATAAATGTAAAGACAAATTTTTTGCAAGAACGCCAATAAGAGCTTTCAATCCAGGTATAAAAGCACTGATCACGTACTGATACTTTTTTCTCACCATGAAGTGAACTGAAGACGTATACTGTAGATATGGACGCAAATCAACGATTCGCTGAGCAATCTTACATTTAAGAGATTAAAATAGTCTGTAGATGACACCTGTTTGCCTTATAGATTATGTTTACACGACATTTATAAACAGTTAGCGCATTCGATCACTTCCTAGTGGCTGTACCTTAGCTTTTCTGCTTATGCTGTTATAATTGGAAAAAGGTTTATTTTCGTTAATAAGTGCGTCACAAAAAGCATGCTTGCTAGTGTCCAAAGTAATTTTTGCAAGCGGCAATTAAATTTTAAGAGAAAACTTATTGAATCGGTAGACCAACGTTCATCTGTTATAATTTATCAGAAGGCATAACTGAACAGCGATTTTTACTTAAAGGTTAGCGTTTTGACCAAATTAACCACAATCTAAACTCACGTTTCACATAGCCACGTTTTCCAAACAAGCTGGTATACCCCTTTTTTCGATGCATTTTAATTTGCTTTTTTGGACTGTGATTTATTCGTATATTGTTTGGTGAGCTAAAAAAGTGGATGGAATCCTTTAAAGCCCCATGCAACTAATAATGGTGTTCTATGCAACCAAAAGTGAGCGGCAACTACCAATAAGTAGGACACTATTAAAAAATTAAAGCCCATTCGTGGTCTTGCATATAAAAATGTAACAGACTGGGTCACCAACTAAAGGAATATATTTGCGATTGGATCTGTTGCAATGTTATTGACCAAATATAACTCAAGATCAGCTATACAAAAAGTCACTTACATAACGAGACTCTTACTGTAACTATCTTCAGCGACAAAAATCTTCCCGCTTTAAGTATCCTCATTTTCATCAACACAAGGGCTTTGAAACCTTAAAAAGTTACATATTCTTAAGTGATGTCTGGTATATGCAAGTGATGCGATTAGAGAGCTTCGTTAGTGGCTTTTCTCATCATGTCCTAGATTAAAAATTATAATACAGGCACTCTCATCAAACATAATTGATTTCCGTTGCTACACTCAATCTAACCATTAGCAAAATTACATCAACAAAAATGAATAAGAAAGCAGTGGATAAATAATTTATTCCATGCTTCTACGTTTCAACGTGCAGAAGTTTGAGAGTTTGGAAGGAATCACTACTTGAAGGCAATTGACAACTAAAAGACAATGGTCGACAAACCTATACTTTCGATGGGTTGGCCGCTGACATTTCTTTTAGTGAATATTATTACCCTATACCAATGTTACGAGAGGCTTTTTCACTTTGATTTAACAAATAAATTTCAACATAGGTCATTTTATTAGTGCTAAAGCCATCTAAAGAGTCATAGTTCCTCAATCTTAAGTTACTACTATTATACTACAAATGTTTCTATTCAGTTATTTCGGCACCGTTACGTGACATTTATCATTTTAAGTATTGAGAAAACAAAGCTTTTGTTTAATTAAGACGATCATTATGGTGTGTCATGACATAAAGCCTCGTTGCCGAATGCATGCAAGGATTATTAATAGTAACTTGGGATTGTATAATGAAAGTTTAATCTTTAGCAGTCCAGAAAACAAGCATTTGACAAATTATTAACTCACACTGTCTCTGTATCACTTACAGGATGTCAACTCTAGAGCCATACATATTCGAAAACCAAAGAACCTAAACCTGGTTTGATTAATATTGTACGATCTAGAACGCAAATATTTATTTCTTTATCAATAAGTAAATGACTGATATCCGGATCAATGCTTGGTAATTCAGTTTCAATACGCACAATACTTTGCACTCGTAGTTTTATTGATTTAATGACCATTAAAAAATCAAAACAGTTAGAAACCCATAAAACTTTATTTACGACAAATTATCATTCTGGGAGGGTGATAAACATGAATATATACATGCACTTGTGAAGTTATTTACGTATAATAGAATAACTTGAGATGTATATGTACAGTGAGCCCAAAATAAGTGAAAACTTTGGGCTTACCAATACACCGGCTACTTTATAATATTAATAGTAATTGTGAGGTATATATATATATATATATATATATATATATATATATATATATATATATATATACAATATTTAAAAGCGAACCATGTCGCTTTTATAATCAAAATGAATATGAACACAAACTGTTTGAGGTTTAAAAAGAACCTAGTTTAAAAAGGATTTCCCAAAATCAGACGAAAAATGTAAAAAAAATTGGCTTATATCTGAACACACACAAAATTACAACAATTATAAACACTAATTCTATCTGACTCCTGGTGTTACTAAGCCTTTAGGCGAAGAACACCAACTCTATGTTCAACAAAAAGGTATGGAGAGTGGCAAACTTCGAAATTCATATTGGTCGACTATTTCTATCGAACCATAGGATTCGATGTAACATATTTTTCGCTTGAGAATTGCTGAGTTGTAAGAAAGCACAATAGACAATCGTTTCAGAATCTCTCTCCATGAAACTATCATAAATTTCTTATCACGCAAAAAATAAAAGGTTAAAATGAAAATACCTGGAGAGCACTCTGAAGTCGCGATAAGTTGTTGCGCAAGAAAAATGGTTTGTAATTATACACTACAAAAATAAAACAAAACAAACAACAATTGTACAATAAAGTTCATCCCATATCGTCCAATTTAAACCACGGAGAAATTCGCATTTAGTAATATTTTTAATTATTTGTGGAAACTGAACATAGAATTTTGCAGGATCTGATAGATAGTACGGAACTTGATTGTGAGGGTTTTACGTTTGAAAACTGTAATCAAGTCGCCTCTAGTTCTGCGATAAGACAACGGGTAAAGGTTCGGCTTGGCCAGTCGAGATTCATACGGAAGCTTCGCTATTCCGGGAATCAGCTTAGTCGCCGTTCTCTGAACCTTTTCCAGAAGCTCACTGTCTTTTTTTAAGCAGGGGCTAGCCGCTTGTATGCAGTACTCAAGTTTAGGACGAACGAACACTGTATACAAAGTCAAAAACGTTTTGGCCTCGACATGACTAAAAGCCCTACGTATTGACCATAACGTTCTAAAACCTTTGGCGGCTATTGCACGGCAGTGTGCAGTAGTCTTTAAGTCTTGACTAACGATAACTCCTAAGTCATTATATGTCTGGACGACAGGTAGCTCAGTGTTATTCATCGTGTATGTATCTGTGCCTTGATGACCGATATGCATCACAACACACTTGGAAGTATTTATCGGCAACTGCCATGTTTGAGACCATTCAGATAACTTCTTCAGGTCATTTTGAAGTTCTAAGCTATCACTCTTACATCGTATCGTTCTCCATATCTTGACATCGTCAGCATATAGCAAGACCGATGATGATAGGAGACAAGGAAGGTCATTTACATACAAGAGGAATAGCACTGGCCCCAAAACTGTACCCTGGGGCACTCCACTAAGCACAGTTTCCCAGCTAGATAACTTTGAGTTCACCCTTACTCTTTGTTGACGCCCAACTAAGAAGTCTTTTATCCACATCAATAAATTGCCTCCAATCCCGACATTTCTTAACTTATATAACAGCCGGTTGTGCGGAACTTTATCAAAAGCTTTACTGAAATCAATGAAGGCGACGTCTACAGGTAGCTTTTGGTCCTTAAGAGCGCACCAGCTTTCACGAGCCACTAATAAGTTAGTGAGACAAGAATAACCTATTCTGAAGCCGTGCTGCTTCTCCGAGAGGATCCGGTTTTTATCGAGATACTTAAACAGCTCCTTCCGAATAATCTTTTCTAAGATTTTAACAACCACACTAGTTAGGCTAACGGGGCGGTAGTTCTCAGGTTTGTGTTTCGTACCTGTTTTGAAGACAGGACTTACTATGGCGTTTTTCCAATCTTTCGGTAAGCGACCCTGCGTAACGGATAGGTTAAAGCATGTACTTAAAGGGCTTGCAACGAAGTTAGATAATTCCTTCAGTAGCCTAGGATGTAATTCATCGGGCCCCGTGGATTTACCTATGTCAAGCTTATTTAGCAGACCAAAGACATCGAGTTCTTTAATGGTCACGCTATCCAGTGTATGTATGGGGGGATCTGTATACGCTGACGAGAAGGGTGCTTCTATGGTATACACGTTGCTAAAGTAGTTCGAGAACGCTTGAGCCTTACCAAAGTCGTCCTCCACTAATGATGAAGCAGTACTGTCTCCCCATAGAGCAGGAATATTTCCTTTTCTCCTTGTCCTTTGGTTTATATAGGAATACAAGCGTTTAGGACATTCTATGGATTCCTTAACAAGTTTTTCTTCGTACAATTTTCTAGACTTACGGAGGGTCGAGGCACAAGTGTTCCGAGCCTTTCGATACTGAGATTTTGACTCATCAGTCCCCAGTAACCTAAATCTATCCCACATTTTCCTTTTCTTACGGAGAAGGATACGGACCTCCCTACTGAACCATGGTGGTGAGTTTTTCGGCCCCTTTGGTATAGTCCAAGGGATGTGAGGTGTGGTAACTTTTAAGTATGAATTTCGAAATGCGTCCCAGGCCGTTTCAATGGAGGACTCTGGGTCTATTGTCCAATCTATTAACGATGCTGAGTGCATGATGTCTGGTATGTTTGCTTTCCAGACGTTGGGTCTGGACTGGACTGACGCGTCCTCATGACTGGCAGTTATATGGAAGTCGAAAGTTAAAACTGCGTGGTCACTTTTACCTAAGGGTGGCATATGGTGGAGGTTCGCAACATCATCCTCATAGTGAGTCAGTATAAGATCTAATAAGGATGATTCAGTGTCCGGATCGTACCTTGTCGCTTCTTTCACATGTTGCACTAGAGCACATGTGATAACCGCATCAACTAGTTCCTGCTCGAAGGAATTTTCTGACGATTCAGTTCGCAGATTTTCCCAGTCTACCATAGGTGCATTAAAGTCCCCTAGGATTAGACATCGACCACTTTGGGACCAAGTATTGAGACTGCTTAACAGGATCTCATTTGCCTCACAGCTTGGACTGCGATAGACCAAACCAATCAGCAGCTCTTGTCCCTTGCATTTTAAGCGAAGACTAACTAATTCACACGTCCCACTCTCATGGGATACACTATCGATAATGGTAAATGGGATAGCATTCCTAATGAATAGAGCTACTCCCCCTCCTTTGCGCTTTTGTGTTCTGTCGGCCCTTACTAACGTAAAGCCCTCGAAATCAAGTTCTATACTATCTATAGCCTGTGTCAGCCAGGTTTCTGTTACTGCGATTATATCTGGCTTTGTAGAGTCAATCTGTACACCTAGTTCCGATCGCTTATTAAGTAAGCTTCGTGCATTGGTGTAACAGATCCGAAGCCTGTTTAAGTGCCTTCGTGCTTCACCCAGAGTGGCTTCGGCATCATTCTCTGTCGAAGTCTTACAACCCGAAAATTTACAATTTTCAGGTCCTTTTCGCCAGCGTCTAACCTATGTTGTAGTTCTTTCTCGGCTTCCCGTCTTTTAACACGGTCTGCCAACGGTAGGTCCTTTCGGATAAA